CTTCAAACAAGAATATAAGTAACAAACAAAACAAAAAACCAAAAAACCAAAAAAAATCCGTTATCACAATATAATATATGCGTAAGGTACATATATAAATACAAATATCTAAATATTTTTCATTAAAATTTAATATTTTTTTTTATTTTTTTTTTATTAGGATTTCAAATTTTAATAGTAAATAAAAATGAGATAAAACATGATAGTTTAAGAAGGTAAAGATTCAAATTAAAATCAAAAATTAATATGTTAAAAATAAATTAAATATCAAGTAAAAAACAAGTGATTTACTTACTCCTATTTAAAAGTTTCAGAAGAAGTCAAGTTCATTGTCAATTATCAAAAGTTTACTTTTTATTTTTATTTTAAATTGATTAAGGGAAGAAATTTTTTTAAACTCATTATCCAATAGGGTGTTCCATAATTTAGGTCCTCTGATTGCTATCGAGAACCTAGTCGCAGAATAATATTTTTTTGGTTGAATATCATTGTTGTTTGAAAATCTTGTTGGGTATAAATGATTTATTTTTTTGAAAAATGAATTAAATAAAATGGGTGCCATTTTATTATCTACTTTGAACATAAATATAAAAATATGATATAGGTTAAGTTGAAATATGTTAAGTATTTTGAATTTATTAAAAAGTAATTTAGTGTGCGAAAAGCGATTCACATTTCCAATAATTCTTAGAGCGTGTTTTTGTTTAATTAGAAGCCCTTTATTTTTAGATACATTAGTGCTGCACCAAGCAACGTTAGCGTAATTTAGATAGCAATGAATAAAAGAAAAATAAATAAGTTTCAAATAAGTTTGGTTCGACAACTGTTTTGCTTTGTATAAAAGGCCTATATTTTTCGAAATTTTATTTTGGATTATTCGTATGTGCTCCTTCCATGTTACGTTTTCATCTAGAACAACGCCTAGAAACAACAACAAACTCTCTCTTTTGACATAAGAGTTATTAATAAAAAGCTTAGGAAGTTGTAAGGGTATGTTGTCTTTATCATGAAGACGACGGAAGAAAGTATATTTTGTTTTTTTAATATTTATGGACAATTTATTTGATATAAACCATTCGCTTAGTTTCACAAGCTCCTCGTTCACTGTTGTAAATAAAAAATTAATATCTTTACTTGAATAATATACGTTAGTATCGTCAGCAAATAAAATTGAATTTAAGATATTAGAAAATTTACTCAAATTATTTATATAAATGAGAAATAAAAGCGGTCCTAGAATTGATCCTTGAGGGACTCCGCAGGTAATTGTCATCATCTGTTTTCTCGCCATCATATAAAATGCATTGTTTCCTATTCTTTAAATAACTCTTAAACCAGCCTAAGTTAGAATTTATGATACCATAACTTTTAAGTTTATAAAGAAGAATATTATGATCTACGGTATCAAACGCTTTGCTCAGATCAATAAAGACACCTAAAGTAAATTTTTTTTCATCAAACGCTTTAAAAATTTCATGCACAAGATTAATTATTGCGTGATTGGTCGAATGACCGGATTTAAACCCGAATTGTTTATTGTAAAGAATATTATTTACATTTAAGAAAGAATAAAGTCTATTATACATTATACGCTCCAAAATCTTTGAAAAACAATTAAGAACAGAGATCGGTCTGTATTTGGAAACATCAGAAGGATCACCTGTTTTAAAAATTGGTGTAACTTTTGCACCCTTTAGTTTTTTAGGAAAAATTCCATGTTTTAAAGATAAATTAAAAATATGTAAAAGTGGTATTGTTTAAATGTTTAAATAAATGTTTAACATATGATACTTAATACACTTTTTTTTTACCTCCACAATAGCATCAATATCATCTTCACAACCATCAGGTAATGTGTTTTGCATACTTTTGTATGCAATTATATAACTGTTTAATATAAGTGTTTGTTTATATACTTTTTTATTTATTTCCGCAATAGCAACAGTATCAGCTGCAGTACCACCAGGTAATGTGTTTTCCATACTTATACAGTTTTTCCATACTTATGCAGTGTTATGTGTATTGAAACCTAAACATTACTTTTTTCACGTTTGTATGCAGTTACATAACTGTTTAATATATGTATTAGTTCATATACTTTTTTATTTATGTCCATAATAGCAACAATATCCGCAGGACCATCAGGTAATCTGTTTTGCATACTTATGCAGTTTTATGGGTGTTATGTGTATTTGTGTATGTATATATGAAATTTAAACATTGCATATCCTTATTTTTACGTTACTTTATTATTTATTTATTTTTGTCATAACTTTATTTTTGTTTTTAAAGTTTAAATAGTTTTAAATAATATTTTTATTGGTTGTTTTGTGCATTAGTGTATTCAAATTTGTTACTATTTTTGTTTTTAGTTTTTAGCATCGCATCAAGATTTCCTGCGATATCGCACCAAGTACCCAGGTCCGATATCTCAAAGAGCTTTCTACCGGTGGTATCAATGTGGAGAAGATGATCCCGTCTTTAGATGGAGGAGACAAGCCCCATATAACACCACTGGTAGAAGAAGGGGTGGTGAGAAGCGGTTCAACACTTTTAATTTCTACTAGTAGCTTTTTTAAGCAACTGGTAGAATTAACTTCTTTTTTAATTATAAAGAAAAGTGACTTTTTGAAAATTTTTTTTTTCAAATTTGCAATTTTTTGTTATTTCAATTTTTACACTTTAACTATTTTATTTTTTTTGATTTTTAATTCTGTTTTTAAATCCTAAACTTACAAAAAAACTCTTATGTTATAAAAGTTTTTAATAATTTGTCTACAAGTTTTTTATAATAATTTATGTTTTTACATCTTTTTATTAGACTTTTTATTAGACTTTTTTATCAAATTTTATTAGACGCTATATAAATAGTTTCATAGGTTTAATTCGATAAATACCACTTTATTGTTTTTGTTCGTTTTAGATTAGTATAGCAAAAAATTATTCAGATAAAGTTTTATTAAACATAAACAATTTCTCAATTATGTCAAGTAACTTAAGGGCTAAAAATAGAAGAAATCGTCGAAATGATAGAAATGAGGCCAGACGAGAAGATATTAATCGTCGCCAAAATGAGAGAAACGAGGCCAGACGAGATGAAATTAATCGTCGCTAAAATTAAAGAAATGAGGCCAGACGAGAAGAAATTAATCATCGCCAAAGTGAAAAGAATGAGGCTAGGCGAGAAGAAATTAATCGTCGCCAAAGTGAAAAGAATGAGGCTAGGCGAGAAGAAATTAATCGTCGACAAAATGAAAGAAATCATACTAGACGTGAAGTTAATTGTCGCCAAAATGAAAAGCTAGACGTAAAAAAGTTAATTGTCGCTAAAATGAATGAAATGAGGCTAGACGAGTATTACTTAGGCGTGAAATGCATTGCATAGCACTAAATAATGTTTTTATAGAGAGTAATTACCGAGGAGAAATGAACCATAATTGTCAGTATTGTGATACTAAAAAATTTTAAAATGAAACACATATTTTGTGCTGCCATTCAGTAAAGGTTGTCTTACCTCCACTTTCATCTTATCCACCACTGATAGTTGATTTAACGACAGGCAACCATGTTGATCGTGCTTTGAATCAAACTTTTTTCAAGCACTTACGAAATTATAATGCCTGTCTATCCTTTGCTTTATTCATAGCCACAATAGATCCTCCGTCAAATCGTGGTTCACCCTGTTTTAGAATTAGTGGGCAAATTATGCATCGTATTGATAATCTAAGACATCAGCAAGGTGATCCACCTGCTTATTGTCAATTATATGTTTATGATCCTAATACTGCTTTAAACTTTCGAATGGAGCAAAATGATTGTTGCATACGTGAGTTAATGGAACTTTTGCAGACTATAATTAATCAGGAAAACCCATATGCACTTGCATTTAAAAACATGGCTGAAGTTGAAGATGCAGAAATTCGTCAAGCTGCTATAGAAGATCGACAGACTTCTGTTGTCAGAATGTCGTTGCTTGAGGGTTGTGATAGACGTCGATACAATCTTCCATCACATGAGGAGATTGCCATTGTTTTTGTAGGAAATGATGGTGCTCCACCTTCATCTAGAGAAGTTGTTATTTATCCTCGAGGTCAACCCTTAAAAACAATTTCTATTCGACAAACGTTCAGTCCTATATTTTATGGTAAGAAACTTTTTCAACAGTATGCTTTTGATGCATATATCAAGATTGAAGAACAGTGTCTTGTTTTTATCAGAAATCACCAAAACAAACTTAGAAGTGAATAATAGGATACATTACCTGAGTATGTAAATAATGTTGCAAATAATCTTAATGTAAGACCGGAACGTGTTGTTATACTACCCTCCTCATATGTTGGAAATCCAGGAGCTTTAAAAAAAATTTTGAAGATGCAACACCAATTATAAAGAAATATGGTAAACCAGATCTCTTTATTATTTTTACCTGTAATTCAAAATGAAAAGAAATTACAGAAAATTTAAATCCAGGTGAGAGCGCAACTGACAGGCCTGATTTAGTTTGTCGCATATTTAAGATGAAAGTTAAATGCTTTTAGATGATATTTTTAAACATGGAATCTTAGGCAAAGTTGTAAGTCATGTACAGGTTATTGAGTTTCAAAAACGTGGTTTGCCACATGTGCATATTTTATTACACTTTGTAAATGATGATAAGCTAGAAACAGCAGAGGATATTGATAGTTTAAGATCAGCTGAAATTCAAGATCAAACTGTTGATCCTGAATTTTTTGAAATTGTAAAAACATATATGATTCATGGACCATGTGGGATCAAATCCCAATTCTCCTTGCATGAAAGATGAAGTCTGCACAAAAAATCAATCCTAAAGAGTATAATCCTCGCACTGTTGCAATTTTCAATGGTTATCCTAATTACAGACGTTTAGATAATGGTAGAGTAGTCATTATAAAAAGTAACCAAGTTGAAAATTGATGGGTTGTACCCTATAACCTCTGGTTATCAAAAAAATAACAATCCACATTAACGTTGAAGCTTGCATGTCTATTAAGTCAGCGCAGTATTTATACAAATATAAGGGGCATGATTGTGTAAATGTTGTAGTTAATGAAAGTGTTGGCCATGATGAATTTAACAAATATTTAGACCGTCGCTTTGTTTCCGCCCCAGAGGCTCTTTGGCGAATATATGAGTATTCCATAAGTGATATGTCACATAATATTATCCGCCTTCAAATCCCCCTTTCTAATAATCAGAGAGTATATTTTAACGAAGGAGAAGAACAAGTAGCTAGAGATCGTGCAGCACAGCGTGACATTCACCTATTTGCTTGGTTTAAGTTAAGTGCTGAAAATAATAAAGCACGTCAGTATTCTTATATTGAAATTCCATATCACTTTGTTTTTGGTAAATATTGCAAGTGGAAAGTAAAACAAAGAGGTAGTGATAAGGTGGTTGTTCGAATGTATAAAGTCAGTTCATTTTGCGAATTATTTTTTCTCAGATTGTTACTTTGGCATGTAAAAGGTGCAAAGTCTTTTGAGGATTTGCGTACTGTTCATGGTAATGATGCATTTTGTGAAGCATGTTATCATTTAGGTTTATTGCAAGATGACATTGAGTGGAGAAATACAATAACTGAAGCTGTTGCAACTCGAATGCCTAAACAAATTAGGCTACTGTTTTCCATCATAATAACTTTATGTGAACCTAATGATTCTTTACACCTTTGGAATACATTTAAAACGTGCTTTTTTAACGCCTGCAAATGTTGATTCATTAGCAATAAATGAAAAAGTCCTTTATCGTTTACCCGATGATGTGAAAACATATTTAAGTTCAGATAGCATTGAAACTGATGATCGTAATGAAACTAATAACTTTTCAGTCGAGTTTTTAATAGTTTGACTCCATCAGGTATGCTTGTTCATTGCCTTAAATTAAAAATTGGTGCTGTTATAACGCTACATAGAAATTTAGATCTCAAAGATGGACTTTGTAATGAAACCCGTTTGATGGTGCGTGCACTACACAACAATTACATTGATGGTGAGGTTTTAACAGGTGTATCAGCTGGTAGCAGGATATTTGTTCCTCGAGTTCAATTAGCTCCATCAGATGCAAATATACCTTTTACACTTAAACGCCGTCAGTTTCCAGTTAGGTTAGCATACTCAATGACCATAAATAAAAGTCAAGGACTAACATTTGAAAAAGTTGGTGTTTATTTCAAAGAGCCTCGCTTTTAA